GGTGGATGAAATGAAGTGTTTGATGCTTGATTTTATACCAACGACTCGTAACATATAAGTGTTAAGTTGTTATTAGAAATTATAAGTAAATGATTATGATAGATATAAAGACTGAATAATAAATGAGATTATGATTTTAAAGTGGTTCGGATGCCTAAAGCGAATCTACGTCCACTGTTGCTTTTATATATGAGAGATTATAGGAGGTCACGTATAACGAACAATGAGCAGAGGTACATAACTGAGTGTTCAGAGAAAAATACAGTCAAAATGAGGGCTCAGATCAAAATCCCAAAAATGAGAGGGAGAATCCTCTATTTATAGTAAAGGACTTCAAGGTGATGATTATAAATTTGTAAGTATAAGATATCGTGCAAGTCCTATTGCCTCTCATTGGTTGGTACTTAGAAAATATCCTTAAATTACTTGGGTTTGGAAGGTGTGCGGCCCTTAATCACTTATGATAAAACCTGAATCTACCAAGTTAGCGACAACCATATCTTTCTATTATGGAGCATCTGATAGGTGATCACATGATCAGTACAAAGTACGTCTCCAATAAGGTTCATACAAGAAGAATTCCAATCCATTTTCTATAGAGGTAAGACAACTCAAACGCAACAGCTTAGGTATCTTAATTGTTTAACATTTAACTAGCCAACCAACTACACTTATTGATAATGACAAATTGAAGGAGACGGCAATAAATTCCATGCTTACATAACCCTGGAATGTGTGGATGTTCTGAAGCTACGGAACAACACCATTGATGAAGAATGCGTATTCCTTTCTTCAGAATTTAACGTAGGATGGTGGATGAATGATAAGTGTTTGATGCTTGATTTTATACCAAAGACTCGTAATATAAAGTGTTAAGTTGTTATTAGAAATTATAAGTAAATGATTATGATCAGATATAAAGACTGAATAATAAATGAGATATATGATTTTTAAAGTGGTTCGGATGCCTAAAGCGAATCCTACGTCCATGTTGCTTTATATATGAGAGATATAGGAGGTCCCGTATAACGAACAATGAGCAGAGGTACATAACTGAGTGTTCAGAGAATATCAGTCAAATGAGGGCTCAAGATCAAAATCCAAAAATGAGAGGGAGAATCCTATTTATAGTAAAGGACTTCAAGGTGATGATTATAAATTGTAGGATATAGATATCGTGCAAGTCCTCATTGCCTCTCCTTGGTTGTTACTTAGAAAATATCCTTAAATTACTTGGGGTGGATAGGTGTGCGGCCCTAATCTACTCATAGATAAAACCTGAATCTACCAGTTAGCGACAACCATATTCTTTCTAATGGAGCGATGTGATAGCTCCTAGGCAGTACAAAATCTTTTGAACTGATTAGTGCTACTAACGTAGGCTAGTGTCAACTCTGATTTGTAGGCATAACAATAAGAGTTATGCAGCCAATCATGTCATAGTTTGCAACTGAGCGAAAATTCATCATTTTAATTACAATTTCTGTCACAGGGGACCAAAGCAGTAAATGTACAATTTGCATACATGGACCAAAGCTTATATCAGTTAGCCGACTTTGAACAATTCAATAGTTAGTAGACCAAAAGGCAGTGAAAAAAATCTGAAGTTTCATTTCTGTTTATTAAGCCATAACTTGTAACCAATGCGAAAAAGTGTTACTAAAAGTTAAAAACTTTTCCTTCCTCGGGCATCACAAACTAAGGAATCATGAGTTGATAAGTACAAGAAGAAGAAAGCTAGAGAGCCAATGGTTTTTCTTTTAGATTTTTCAATAAAATGAACACGTGGGTGTTCTAGATTCAAGATTAGAGCAAAAAAATATTTTAATCAGATATAAAACTGCTAAACAATAGGTTGCAGCATCCGATGTCTTGGATTGGGAACTATATTATAAAGTATTTAATTGATTAACAAAAGAATAAACAGACTTTTTTTTACCCAAATAATGGTCTATCAAAAACTTTAACAAAAGAATAAACAGACTTTTTTTTACCCAAATAATGGTCTATCAAAAACGTTTTAAAATACAATTTTGCCCACAGACAATTTTGTTTAGTCTAGGTAAGAGCAGCTTAGGAATTATACATCAGAGTACTTGTGTCTACACTCCACAGCAAAATGGAGTAGTAGAGCGCAAGCATAGGCACATCCTCAACATTGCTAGAGCATTCAAGTTTCAGTCCCAAATTCCAGAATTTTTGTGGGGTTACGCAGTAAAAGCAGCAGTTTATGTTATCAATAGATTGCCTACCAAGGTTTTGAATGGTCTTTCACCTTTTGAGAAGTTCTATGGCCATCAACCTAAGCTAGATCATTTGAGAGTTTTTGGCTGCTTAGTATATGCTACAAATCTAACTTTTCAAGGTAAATTTGCACCAAGATCCATCCCATGTGTTTTCCTTGGTTATTCAGCCTATAAGAAAGGATATATCCTATATGATTTGCAATCCAAAGTAGTGAGTGTTAGCCGGGATGTTGTCTTCCATGAACAACTTTTTCCCTTTCTTATGCATCAGTCCAATAAACCACTATTTCCTCTTGAGAATTTTATGGAAGAAGAGCTAGTCTATCCATCCTCTGATTTGGATACTTATCATGAGACAGAACCTGCTATATCTAACCCTGTAGCCCCTGTTTTACCTTCAGCTGTACCTACTGTCTCTTCCCCTTCACACAACCAACTTCGCAAATCAAGTAGAACCTTTAAACCACCTATTTGGACAACTGATTTTGTGTGTCCCACTCTGCCACAATCAAATCTGATCCCTACTGTCAAATACCCTATTCACAATTACATAACCTATAATCATCTTTCCCCAACCTACCAGAGATGTTTGTCTAGTATACATACACTTACTGAACCAAATTCTTTCACCCAAGCATCCAAAGATCCCAATTGGGTTGCAGCCATGCAACAAGAAATTCAAGCCTTGGAAAGAAATGGGACATGGTCTTTGGTTTCTCTACCACCAGGTAAGGTTCCAATAGGGTGTAAGTGGGTATATAAACTCAAGTATAGAGCTGATGGGACTCTAGACAGGTATAAGGCCAGATTGGTGGCCAAAGGATTTACACAGAGGGCAGGAATTGATTATGAGGAGACTTTTTCTCCTGTGGTGAAAATGGTGACAGTGAGATTAGTCTTGGTTATTGCCTCCTTGAGAGCTTGGCCTCTCTTCCATTTAGATGTTGATAATGCTTTTTTGCAATGGGATCTTCAAGAAGAAATATACATGAATTTGCCGCAAGGTTTTTCCAATACACATGCTCAACCTTTAGTTTGTAAATTGCACAAGTCACTTTATGGCTTGAAACAAGCTTCTCGGGCATGGAACACCAAACTCACCACTGCCTTGTTAGCAGGAGGTTTTCAGCAGTCCCCTTCAGATCATTCTTTTTTCTTTAAAAAGCATAATAGTCATATTGTTATTGTTCTTGTATATGTTGATGATTTGGTGATTATAGGGAGTGATGCTTCTATGATTCAAGCCACTAAAGATCTATTGCATTCAAATTTTAAACTCAAAGACTTGGAATCTCTCAGATACTTTTTGGGTTTTGAAGTGGCTTGCTCTTCCAAAAGTATAACTCTCTGTCAAAGAAAGTATGCCTTGGAATTGATAGCTGAATCTAGTATAGCAGCTTCTAAGCCCACTTTGGTTCCACTTGACCCTCAATTGAAGCTTACAACTGTGGAGTATGATCAAGCCTTTCCTGGACAGTCTGATCCCATCTTAAGTGATCCTTCAGTCTATCAAAAGCTGATTGGCAAGCTGTTCTATTTGTGCCTCACCAGACCTAATTTAAGTTTTGCAGTAAACTTGCTCAATCAATTTATGCATCAGCCCAAACAATCCCATCTCAACATTGCCATGAAAGTTGTTAGATATGTGAAGGGCTCTCCTGGTTTAGGTTTATTGTTCCCAGCTGATGGTACATTGCAGCTGCAAGCTTTTTGTGACTCGGATTAGGCCTCCTACCTCATGACTTGTAAGTTCGTAACTGGTTTTTGCATCTTTCTCGGCAACTTCTTGCTATCCTAGAAATCCAAGAGACAAGTCACAGTGTCTAGATCTTCATCCGAAGCTGAATATCGTGCTATGGCTTCCACAGTTTGTGAACTTGTTTGGGTGTCTCAACTGCTTACTGATCTTGGATTTCCCCTGCAGCTTCCTATTCCCCTTGGCTGTGATAATCAATCATCCATTCATATTGCTTCCAATCCTATTTTTCATGAATGTACAAAACATATTGATATAGATTGTCACATTGTTCGTGCGAAGATTAGGGAAGGTTTAGTGCATCCAGTTCATGTGCCTACACAAGACCAGCCTGCTGATTTGTTTACCAAGGCTATTCCAACTACTCTACATCGCCATTTGCTGCCAAAGTTGGGGTGCTGGATATTCATCACCCACCAACTTGAGGGGGGGTCTTGGATTATTGTATTTGAGTTATTGTTCTTACGGTTGTGGTTAGTTAGCAAGTTAGTTAGTTTAACTATAGTTAGTTGGTAACTGTAGTTAGTTGGTTTAACTATGGTTTACTTAAAAGTGTATATAAAAGAAGATACATCTTCTTCCTCCTCTGTGGCTTTACACCCGAAATAATAAAGTTGAAGGATATTCATTTTTCCTCTGAATTAAAACAGTAAGGAATTTGAATAAAAATATATCGTTACTGGAAATTTTAAATAACGTTTAAAGAATGTTTATATTTTCATATTATTAATAATTTTTTAATTTATGAGTAATCTTATATTAAATAACATATTAAAATTAAAAAAATAAGAAAAAATGATAAATTTAATTGAAAATAGGGTGTCAGTCGTGTTATTAGTTTTTAGGGAAAAAAATTCTTGTTTTCTGAATTTTCAACTTTGCCATGTATACATATTTGAATCTGATCGGCTCTGCGTCAGTTCACCATGCTATGTCAATTACCAAAGCATCTGCGAAAAGTCTTAGGTTTTGGCAAATTTGAGAAATATCCATGTATGTTCAGTTAGAAATGTTTCCAAGAACAGAAGCTGGTGTTGCAAGGGAGAAGAACAGTATAGAAAAATCCTTGCTACCAATAAATAACATGGAAATCCACGCAATTGCCTTCTTTATCCAGTCTTCTATTATAGGAAGCAGAATTCAAATATAAAGTACATCAATTTTCAAAGAAGATCAGAGTTAAAACTAGAAGACTTTCATCATTCTCAAACATGTATCAGCCAATCTGGCAAATAAAATGAATTTTTATAGTATTTGATTTGGAGTAGTGACACAAATTCTAGCACACGAATCAAGGAGCGGGGGATTGGAAAACTAGAACGATTGTATGCAATTAACCAAGTTCTCTAAAGCCTGATATGCCGAACCCCCTGGCCTTAGAGAAATATCCACTTTCTCCTTTAAATCCATAGTTCTGTTTCTGATTTCCTGGCCCTCATCCTCCAGGATTAATCTTTTAACTGCTCTTTCTATCTCCCCTTTCTCCAGCTTCTTCTCTAAATGCAATCCAACTCTCCAAACATCGCTAACATATCTTGCAATCACCTGCTGATCACCAAAACTAGGGTGGCAAATCATGGGGACCCCTTCACATATACTTTCCAAAGTAGAATTCCAACCATTATGTGTCCAGAATCCTCCTGTGGCAGGATGAGCCAGAATTTCTTGCTGGGGAGCCCATTTCACAATATGTCCTCTTCCATCTAGCATTTCCAGAAACCCTTTTGGCAATGCTTCAAGCCATTCTGCTCCATGTACAGATCCTGGTCGAACAACCCACAAGAAAGGCACCCTGCTATTGGCTAGTCCCCAAGCTATCTCCAAAAATTCAGTTTCTTTAATAGCAACAATGCTTCCAAAGCTTACATAAATTACAGATTTAGGTGCTTGTTTGTCTAACCAGGAAATGCAGCTTCTATCTTGAGATAGTAAGCTACTTGAAGCAGCCGGAAAATACTTGTGAAATGGGCCTACTGCGAATATTGGAATGGGAAATTCCTGTTTTAATGTGGTCACTGCATCTTGTTCAATCTCTTCACAGGAATTCCATATCAATCCTGAAGATGCCTTGGTCTGACTAATCATGCTTAATAACAAATGTTGACCTTTCACTGGATCATGTGTTTCAACCACAGGAATGTCTTTGACTCTCAGCGGTGGAAACTCGATCACTGGTGCATCTGACAAAGGATCTGAGAGAGAAAGAAAACTTAAAGAAGAAAATCATATAACACTAAAGTTGAGAAATTCCGGAAGTGATAATATCATAATAGCATTTTCTTTATAATTTCCTCAAATACTGAAACAAAGTAACGTAGTCAAACAAATACTCTAAATTTTAATTCAAATCTTTTTCCACTGGTAACTTTAAAGATTTTCAGTAACTATATCTGCCCACTATTATTTGTTATAAATGCTCGGGCTAATCTTTTATAATGACTTGTAAAGCGAATTCTTTAGTTTATGGATACTAGTTATAACTAAACATAAACTAAAGATGGATCTTCTGCAAACCTTCTCAAAAATTTAAGTCCAAACAAAACCAAATTCCCTGATTTCCATCAAAACACTTACCATTTTGTTTGCTTGAACTATCTCTGTCACCTAATGAACTACCGGGCTAACACCAGTTTTGACATGAAAATCTTCTTACATGGGTATCTTTCAAGCACCAAGTTTCATCATTTTGTCAAATAGCTCGTGTGAAGGAAAGACATGCTTCAGAAATCTCAGTGGTTTTCAGATGGGTTTCTTTGGATATTGTAACTTAAATGGAATACCTTTCCCTATGATTGAGCCAATGCATCTCTAAAGACTGACCATGAGATTAAGTACATTAGAGTATTAGCAAAAAATTTAGGATTCAATATTTGACAGTTTGAAGGTCATTTTTTTTTGCTGGATAAAGGTAATTTCAAGCACAGTAGATATAAATAACAGCTGCCTTTGCTCATTAAACTGGCAAGTGGCAGTGGCCAGTGGAGAAGAGAGAGATGGAGCGATTGCTCTTAACACTACTCAATACCTAGATTTGACTCGATTGCCAGCACAAAATGATGATAGCTTGTATAGCTAACAAAAACTACAGCAGAAATTATAATAAATTATTCCTAATAATGAAATGTAACAATTAATTCATAAAATTAGAAAACTTTCTACGTAATAGTTTGGAAAGTGACATAAATTAGGAAGCTCACCTTTAATGGGGAGGTAACCCTTCTCATGGAGAAGTGGAGTGCCAGCAAAAACCAGAAAGGAAGAAATATTACTAGTTCGTAACACGATCCTTGGGAGCTTAAGGCTATCAGCAACAGATTGAGTGAAATGCAACATAGCATCCGTGATTAAGCAGGCAATAGGCTCTTCTTCAACATTTGATAGCAACTTAGAAAGGCAATCCCGGAATGGCTCCACACAATTATCATTGACTTGCGTCATAACAGCTACGGCATCTGCCACAGAGACTACAGCTTCCGACAAGCCATCTGGGATTGAGTGGAAGTCAAAGTGGGGGTAATTAACAGAGTTTGGAGAGTTGAAGTTTGTGTGAATTACTGTTATGGAAAGGCCTTTGTTGTGGAGAATACTTGCAAGCTGAAGCATAGGAGTTATGTGGCCTTGTAAAGGCAGTGGAAAAAGTATCACTCGGCGTCGCATACTGGACTCGCTTTGGACCTCCATGGAAAAACTTTGCTTATGCTTCTGGTTCCGTCTCAATTTCTCTAAGAAATTTCTCTCTCAGCCATTCATTTTCCTGAGGGATTCGATAAAAAGTTAAGACAGAACCTGACAAATCATTCTGTAAAGTGTGCACAACATGTGGCCGGAAAGTAGCTGTGAAATAATAGAAAAGAAATAAAGATAACTTATGGTACTTTTTAATTGTTCAGTTCAGAACATATTGTTGGACAAATAAAATCTATCACTGACCAATCACGAGTCAATACATTTGTGAAAAAAAAACCAGTGAAAAGGGTATGTAAATATAATATTACTGTAATGGACAATTATATGGCTACGGTTGTATCTAGGCGGTAGTGGATAGAAAATAATAAATAAATGGGTCCTTTGTCATTAAAGCGGTCGATGAACTCCTAATAACTGAAAGAGAAATGTTAGTACAAAGTGGCATGACATCTGACATGATTAGTCACATCATCTGTCATATCACGTATTTTCTTAAATATTTAATTAATTAAAATACTTTAATTAATCCAAATTGCACTGGCCACCACTGCCCAGATCTGATGTTTGGCCACCACGGCCCAGACCTGGTGTTTGGCTCAAATTTTTTATTTCTTCAGTTTATTATTAATTTTTCTTAAGAAATTGGATTCGGTGAATTTGGAGATTGGAGGCTTCTAATTGATTATGTTTCATAATGTATTTTTGATTGACAGTAAGAAAAAACTAAAATTTCAGGAAGAGGAAGACAAGGGATTGGTGGTTGGCCGCACCTTGGCCTCGGGTGGCCTGGTGGCTAGCGAAACCGTGGCCACATGCGGTGTGGCTGGTAGTGTCGCGGGAGGCAAGAGACTGGTGGTTGGCCGCACTTTGGCAGTGCCTTGTGAATAGTGGCAGTGCGGTTGCAAGTGGTGGTGGAAGAGGATAGACGGCGGTGGTGCGGTTGAGATTGGGAAAAAAACAAATAAAAAAGGAAGAGGAGTAGAAGGGAAAAGGAGAGAGGAAGAAGATGAAGGATGAGAACGGATTTTTGATTTAATATAATCTTTTTTTTTTTTTTTCTGAACTTAGGTTAACTGAAATATTTTAATTAATTAATTATTAAATATTTAATAAAATACTGATGTGGAAAGTGATGTGAAAAATGTTATTGGAATACAAAATTAAAGCTTTTTCATGTTTTTAAGCTAAATTAAAGACCATCCACATATTGTTTCATTAACGATAAGGTATATGTACTCAAAGGAGGCAATCACATACTCACATGATTAATAATTCTATATACATGAAAAAGAGTAATACTACACTTACAAAAAAATTTTACAAAGATCTCCATACAAAGTGATGTGGTAAAAAATAAATGAAAGAGTGAATTTAATGAGTTTGACTTTTTGTTTCACTCTTCCATTCATTTTTTGCTACCTTACTTTGTATGGAAATCTTTATAAGATTTCTTTGTAAGTATAGTATTATTGCATGGAAAAAAAATGATTAATTTCATTTTTCCCATTATTTAATTTGAAGTACATTGTAAGTTTTTATAAATTGAAAAATGTTATAAGGGTTAGGGTATATCAAATTATTGTTACCTAAGAAGGAAAGACGAAATCTTCTTAAATTTGGGAAGAACGAACATTTTCCCAGCCAAGGTTTAGCAAAACGATACTTTTCCATCCTTCGTTAGGTTCTATTATATTTTTCGTTATTATTTTGCTAAAAATGTAAAAAAAAAAAAAAAAAAAACCCTTAAATATTTGACTTTATAAATTTTTTAATTAGGCAAAAAGTCGAATATTAAAAAGTCAAAAAAAAAAAAAATTAACTCCACCTAAAAAGTTAAGAGTAATGCTATGGAATTGTTTAAAATTAAATTATCTTAATATTTATTTATTTATAATGCTATCAATATCTCATCACTATTATTTAATAATCTACTAAATTTATAATGTTTTTCATTTTTACTAATTAACATAGAAAATCAATATTCCTAATTAATTAANAGAGACGCAACTCTTACCCAATAGGAGATTTGAAAGTACCAATTTCTTGATAATGAAATCGACATTCATTCAGTGGAGCTGGAAGAAGAATGGTTCTTTGTCTTGTGATAATACAAGCACATCCTTATCCTGCTTTAGCCTATAGTTTCCCGGGTTCAATTATATTTGAAGACCAAATGTCTTTATCTTATCTAGTAAGTGAAAATTCAGTTCTAAAAGTTCATCATTTCAGGAACCAGTTTTTACTTAAGCCAGAAACAATGATATGGCAATTACATATAGATATCACCTAATGTTGAACTCCAGAACATGCTAAGTCCTTTAAAGTATATAAGAACAAGGGTTCAGTAAATTGAATCTGGAGTATGTTATCTAAATAAGTTTGGAATGCCTAGAATGACAATATATAATTGATCAAGTTTTCTAGAGATTGATATGAAGACCCTCCTTGCTTTAGACAAAGATCAACTTTCTCCTTCAAATACACTATTCTTTCTCTCATTTCCTGGCCCTCTGCTTCCAGCATTACTCTTCTAATTGCCTTTTCTATCTCCCCTCTCTCCAGCTTCCTCTCCAGGTGCAACCCAACTTTCCAAACGTGACTAACATATCTTGCATTCACCATTTGGTCACCAAAACAAGGTTGGCAAATCATGGGGACACCTTCACATATGCTCTCCAATGTGGAGTTCCAGCCATTATGCGTCCAAAAAACTCCTGTCGCAGGATGAGCTAGAACTTCTTGTTGGGGAGCCCATTTCACAATATGCCCCCTTCCATCTAGCATTTCTAGGAACCCTTTTGGCAATGGTTCAATCCATTCAGCTCCGCGGACTAATCCTGGTCGAACCACCCACAAGAAGGGCAACCTGCAATTGGCTAATCCCCAGGCTATCTCCAACAGTTCAGTCTCGTTAATAGCAGCAATGCTTCCAAAGCTCACGTAAATTACGGATTTAGGCGGTTGCTTGTCTAACCAGGGAATGGAGCTTTGGTCCTGTGATAGCAAGCTGCTTGAGGAAGCAGGAAAGTACTTGTGCAATGGACCTACTGGGAACATTGGGATTGGAAATTCCTTGTGTAATGTTGCCAGAGAAATTTGTTCAAGGTCCTGAAAAGAGTTCCATATGCATCCTGAAGAGACCTTGGTCTGATTAGTCATGCCTAATACCACTTGGTGAAGAGTCTCGGGAATACGTGTTTCGAACACTGGAATATCTTTGACTCTTAGGGGTGGGAGCTCTGGCACTGGTGCATCCGGTTCACAACCTGAGGGATAAAAAGATGCAGAAAAGCAGAAATAAGAAATAAATCACTTCAAAGATTGTACCTAAATCTCTTTCGAGCTTCAATGGAATATTAATTCTTGATTGCATACTAGAAAGAAGAACGACACAACCATCATTTCTACTGTACTGCATGTAGTTTCAAGTATATATCAATCAAGCTACAGCTTACCCTGGAAGAAATAGTAACAAAAAGAGAACAAATAGGGATAGAAACAAAAGTTTTCACCTTCTGCGGGCATATAACCCTTTTCCCGTAGAAGTGGAAAGGCAGCAAAAACAAGAAAGAAAGAGACGCTATTTGTCCGTAACACTAGTCTTGGGATCTTAAGGCTTTGAGCAACAGCTTGGGTGAAGTACCAGCCGGCATCCGTGATTAAGCAAGCAATACTTTCCCCCTCAACAATATTTGACAGCAACTTAGCCAAACAATCCTGAAATGGCGCCGCACACTTAACATTGAGGAGTGAAAGAAGAGATACTATATCCGCAAAGGAGGCTTCACTTTGCGACAAGCCATCGGGGATTGAATGGAAAGAAAAGTGAGGGTAGTTAGAAGAGTTTAGAGAGTTGAAGTTTGTATGAATTATAGATATAGAAAAGCCTTTGTTATAGAGAATGCTTGCAAGCTGAAGCATAGGATTGATGTGGCCTTGTAAAGGCAAGGGAAAGAGTATAACTCTTCGTCCCTTTCTTTGTTGCAGATGAAACTCTCTTTGGCTCCCCATAGCTAGAAAATTAAGTTTGTTTTTCCTGCTTTGGTTTTCAGTCTTTTATGTATGCAGCGATGTGGATAGTGGAATGAAGATAACATTAACTGTTTTGCCTAGAAAACTTGAAAGTCGTCAGAGTAGGTTTTCCGGAGCATGCATTGAATAGTAGCAAATTGCATGTGAAATTTTTTTCTTGCTGATTGAAACATCTCCATCACTTCATGAAACAACTCTGGGAAGACAACAAAAGCCACCCCGTACTCACGAAATCAAAACAAAAGGATATTTTAATTATATTAATCTAATTTGATGATATAATAAAATATTTTATTTTATTTATTTTAATGAGGAAGTGTTTGTCAAATGTCTATTTATAATACTTGAATAAAGCTGTGAACTTGGACTGTTGGGCACTTAACAATTTGGTATACTGGATGGGAGTTACAGTTCAGTTTGGCCTTGATATTAGGCCAGTATAGAAACAAATGTAATATAAAAAGAGTGTAGTTAACAGTAAGGGTTGTGCAGTGGACTAATTTTGAAGGGCGACAGGATTAGGGTGGTTCCAACTTCCACCGAGAACCGCCCACAGGTTCACAGGAAAAATTGCTAAGAACAAGAAGTCAAGAGAGTGGATGGGAGCAACATTTCAAAAGCCATAATAATTACGATTAGAATCTCTGTCTGTTAACTCTTTTGATCTTTCTAACAACGAAAATGATAGAGCCACCGAAGGTTTTGCACCGAATCTGTGCATCGAATGACGTTGTAAAATTTGGATCGTTGATTAATATTAATTGATAATGAATAAACGGTCAATATTTTGCCATGTCATTCGATGCACAATCTTCGGTGACTGTAGCTTTACTCAACTAACAATCGTCACAATTTTGACAGTTCTATGTTTACTTGTTTATTAAACAACCGATCACATTTTTAATCTGAAAGTTGAAGAGACTGAATGTATTTATTTATTTATATTATCTAATTATAATTGTTGTATTATTTATTTTTATCAATATTTTGACACATATATTCTTATGAAGTTAATTTTATGTTTTTACGTGCATGATAATTATATTATTATAAATTATGAAAATTAAAATAAAATACAGATAATTATATTAATGGTAACTATGTTATTACATTGTGTTTATATAGTAAGTAAAAATTTATTATAACCAAAAAAAAAATTAAAAACAATTAAATTAATTAGATCCTTGAAAGAGTTCATTTTTAATTTTGGTCTACCAATTGTTATATGAACATTTGATCAATTGTTCTAAACAAGTTGATTACATTTGATGGTTGATTTTGATTTTTGGGCTATGATAAATAAAGAAGACAAAATTATATAATGTAAAGGTTTTGATAAAAATGAAATTATATAAATTTGATAAGGATATAATTGACAAATAAAAATGTTATCAATTTAGATGTTCTAGCATTAAGATAAAAGTTTGGTTTTTGGGTTTTATCCAGTGTTCTAAAACCCGGATCGGTCAGATCGAGAACCAGCAGCCTCTCTGGTCCGATTCAGTTTCCAGGGGTGTTTATGCTAGATTCCAAACCTGTAAGGAAAAATCATTAATTTTCTAGGGATGTTTTGCAATATTTTAAAATTTTATGGATTAATTCGTAGTTTTTAGGGGTATTTTTGCAATATATTAAAATCTTAAGAACTAATTTCAATTTTTTAAAATATTTTTGTTGTTGACGTCACTGGTTCGTCCAACCAATTTGATTGGTCGGACCGATCAACCCAAAAACCAAGCCCTTGAACAGGTCAAGGCTCGGTCTGGTTTTCAGAACCTTGGTTTTATCTCGTTATCAAATAAAAGTTTAACAACAAACAAACCTAAAATATCTTAATCAAATAAAATTAGACGTATTCTGACTTAAAACTAGGAAACAATCAAACCCTTGGTTTTTACTTAGTAAATGAATGTTAAATATGCAAACTTATCAAACAAATTAATTCATGCAAATTGATGTATATATTTGTCAATAAGATTAGTTTTTTTTTAAATATGCAAACTTATTTTAATTTGAAATGACCTAGTTGTATAAGATTAATTTTTACGTATATTATTATTATTATTATTGTTAGTAAAATTCTGAAAACTTTACAGTCTGCAGTTTGCAATGGGCTTCTCTGGCCCAACCCGTGGTCAAAGAGTAAAATTGATTATCTTTGAAGAACAATCATTTACTGTATTTTGTCATTTCTTTTTGTGGTTGATTTGGAAAGGAAAGTCAAAGTAGGAGGTCGAGAATGTGAAAATGGTAAGACAAATAGATAGTAAATTGCCGTATCAGTGAAGCAGCTCACAGTTTAAGCACTCAGCTGTTCAAGGTCAACCATGACCTGCGTCATACCCATCAAATCACGGGCCAAAGTGGGCTTTATTTTTCTCTTCTATGTTTTCATTCAATTTTGGATTGAATTTGACCAATTCAATTCAAATTCATTCATTTTGATTGAATCGAATCTATCAGTAAAAACTACACCGTATTATTTAGTTGACAAATTCCACACCCAATTCAATCAAAACTTGGATTATATTATTCTGATTTAGATCAAATATGCACGTTGTTTAATAATTAATTTTGAAAAAATAAACAAATAAAGTCTTAATAAGAGAAAAATTGATGGGTTTGGTTGATTAATTACAGAGAAATACTATAGACTAATTGACTATTACGCATGGGCATTTGAATGTGGTAGTTTTTGGTCACAGGAAAAATATTCATCCATGACCATGAATTATGGGGAATTAATTTATTTGAATGTCACTTTCTAATTGTTTCCGCCATTGAAAATATGGTGGAAAACCTTCATGATCAGATTGATAAAACTTAGAATGGTTAATCGAATTCAATGCTGTCAGTCACTTCGGTCTGATACTCCAATAGTATAAAATGCAATTAAGGTCATGAATTAATTATCTTCAATTTGACCAAATTAATTTTGAGCATTAATCTATTTTCTGTTTTTAATTTTTAGGTCCCAATGAACCAGTTTGATGATACTAGGATGAATTAAGCACTAATTCTATTTCTAAATTCATTAACTCGGGTGATCGAATGGTTCGATAAAAATTCTTGAGTATATTATTCAAGAGATCTTAAGTTCAAATTCCTCCTCGATTGGTAATAAGGGTAGACACTAAAGTTATTATTAGTCGATAGTTCTCTAATGTTTAAATAGATTAGTTGAAGTACATGTAAATTGATCTGACTATCATCAATTATTAAAAAAAAAATAAAAAAATCTATTTTTAAATGATGAAGAAATTAACTGATACTTTCCAACATCAAATACAACACTTTTATTAATAATTATCATTTTTATCTGCAAAATTCTTAACCAAATTGCTTTTATATATTTATTCCTAGAATATTTGTTTATAATAATAAAGGATCTTCTTAATATCTGTCTATAAGATACAGTTTTTTTTTTTTTTTTTTTAATGATAAATAATAGATGGGGTTTATCATTTAAAAAAATTATAATAGATTGAAAATAAATTTTTATTTTAAATTACATGATAATAATTTCTTTGTATCACATGTCACTTTAAATATTATGAATTATAATAAATAAATATATAAGCTTAGGAACTGCAATGTATTAATAAAAACATTATTGAAATTAAGATTATAATTAACGATGGGATGGTTGCTGATTGAAACATCTCCATCACTTCATGAACAACTGTGGGAAAACAACAAAAGCCACCCCATACTCACGAAATCAAAACAAACTACGACAGAAGGATACTTTAATTATATTAATCTGTTAAGAGGAAAGCTAGCAAATATTAGAATGGCAAATTTGATGATATAATAAAATATTTTTATTTCATTGAGGAAGTGTTTGTCAAATGTCTATTTGTGATACTTGAAGAATAAAACTGTGAACTTGGACACTTAAAAATTTGGTAATACTTGAAGGGAGTTGCAGTTGAGTTTGGCCTTGATATTACGCCAGTATAAAAACAAATGTAATAAAAAAAGTGTATTTAAGAGCAAGGATTGTGCAATGGATTAATTTTGAACCACAATCACCATTGGGTGACCTGATGACAAGAGGGCAAAGAGGTTTAATATGAGTTTTTGAGTTCGAGTCTCCACAGACGTTAATATGAGTAATTACAGAGGGAATTTATCCGATGTCAACTTAAGGGTTTCAAATGATTAGTTGATGTTAGGGCCAAAAATCGTCCTTGACCCAAATAGGAAAACAAGACCGAATGAGGAAGAGATCAGACCTAATCCTGACGCGGCCTAATCCGGATTAGGCCCATCTGGTATGAGATATTGTTGGCACAAACCACCCGGGCCCAAACCTCCTAATCTCAGTCCACATCACTGCCCTATGAGCAAGTTCAAGGCCCACGGACATCCACAGATCACTTTCCTATTTGAGATCACTTTCCTGTTCAAACACTGGTAAGACAGCTCACCATCGCCCTAACTCCTCTAGGGTCCATGTTAGAGTCACACTAGGATTCCTTCTCACGCCAGGATAAGGGGATCAAAGGGCGTATCCCTGGAGGAAAGGGATTGCTACGAGAACTCACAATCCCACCAGGAATGGGAGACAAGACAGTCACTATATAAACAGAGGTCAGCCCTCTCATAAGAGACATTATACTACACCTTCACACTTGAAGTTCCTACTTGAGAACTTCACATCACCGCCGTAGTCACAGTCCCCGACTAGACTTCTGGTAACCTCTCTACTCCCTAGCCCTCACTAAATTAGCCTCTTTCAGTATTGCTAACTTGAGCGTCGGAGTACCTACGGGCTACGGCAAACACCATCCCAGTGTTTTCCGTCGCTTTACGTTCGTTTCTTTAAGTGTGTAGGTGCAGTGGATCGCTAGTGACCTCAACCTCACGAGATCAGACCCTCTTTCTGTACAGGTAGATTTTTATGTCTACAGTTGAGATACGCATAAACTAGTCCAAACACCTCCTATTAGAAAAAAGAAAAAAAAAATTTGGAA